CAAAGGGAATACGAAAAGGCAAATATGAAACGTTAAATTAGCTCCTATTAGCAATATATTAGGAAAAAAAATGACAAATGGAAACGAATCATACCAACGGCGAAGCAGATTTGTGCGAGCAAATCGTGATCTATGTGATACGTATAAAGGGGCTGTATGAATCCAGTGTTTAGCTTCTGCAGAGAAGGCGAGAGAAAGAGGGTTTTGTTACATTTTACAGTGATTTTTAAGGAGATTTTGGGAGAGGGTTTATTTTTTCTCTGTTTTTTATTTTACAAAAATGCTCTTTGGATTTAGAAAGGGGGCTGAATTGTAATTTGAAATATGTGGAGAGATTAGCTAAATTTCCCTCCATTATTTGGTATTGGTGTCACTAAAATTAAAATTTGAATTTCACAAGAGGGTTGACCCTTTTTTGAAACTTTCTATATAGCTTTTTATTTGTTTTATTTTATATAGCTTGAGCTCATTTATAACAGCTCAAGTCAGATAAATGATAAATCTATATTAGAAGTTCAAATTTCACTCAGTTTGTTTACCCATCTACTTTTAGAGCATATTTGTTTATGGAAATTTTTTGTGGTGTTTAGATTTTTTGGTTTTATTTGGTTAATTTTAAAAAAAGTGGTATGGTTAGGTGTTAGTGAGTATATATTAAAATAATATTTAAAATAAAATAATTAAAATTGATTTGATGTAAAAGTATGAAAGAGATGATTTGAAGTGATAGTTAGGTAAAATAATGTGAGTAGATGAATAGTGAATTAAGGTTAATGTGGTGTGTATGATTGATTGATTAATATTATTTAATTATATTGATGATAGTAAGATTGAGTTAAAGTTGAGTTAAAAAAGTGATTGAGTTAAAATGTTGAATTTTTTTTTAAAAAAAAAATCTTATAAACAAATATGCTCTTAGCCTTTATAACTTTCAATTAAAAATACTTTTCATCTCTAAAAAAATATATAGTATATGTAAATTTGTACACAATACAATCAACCTTGACCCAATATTTTGTGTTGTTCTGTTTGGTCACTTCTACTATAAAAATGTGGTTATGTTAGGCAAAATATTATACTCTTTGTTCAGAATTTGTGTGGAGCAATATTACAGGCATTATATTTGAACAAATCAAGCATTGGTTGAAATTTACTAATGGTGTTATGATTTATGATTCATATAATTGCTATATAATCTCATATTTGACTAGTATGGCCATAATTTGAAGTCTGTATAGAAAAGCATATAATGTTGTAAGAGAAATGTTATTGAGCCAATGGTTGGCTCTTTTATGGAGCCAATCACCAATGTTATAGTGCCACGTGGGCCATGTGGAGTTAATTTGAAGTCGTATGATTGATTGATTAATTGTTTCCTTTTTTCTTTTGAGTTTAATTTAAAATTTAAGTAGGTTCATTGACTTAAATGGATTAAAATGTATACCATTCCGTATATATAAATGTATAATGTTCGTGCATTGAGTGCAAATTCTATAGTTCGTAATCTTTTTTTTTTTTTNCGTAATCTCATTTGTCGATTTTTGAAGATTCATATAATAATATATCAAATTATAATGTTGCGAGTAGTTCATGTATATTCGATTTATCATTCATACTTATTGTTTGGAACTTTAAATTACACAAGTAATTTGAAGTATAATTATATTTTAAATTTTCTTAATTTTTATTTGTTATCAAATTTTCATTCATAGTTTATCAAATTGATGAATACGACGATATTCGATTTAACATCTATATTGCATATACACAAAAAGCATGTATCTACTTGACTGCATGTCACAAGCAACAAATTAGAATTTATAGTTTTCCTCAACTTTTCTATACTAACTAGTAGTAGCGATGTGTGTAATTGAACTGCAATCATTTTTTTTTTAATTGAGATTATGAAAATAGTAGTAAATGGGTTGACAAGTATAAGTTAACTACTAAAAATTATGTTTAACGAGATATGCTTGGGTGCAATAAATCATAAAAACAAGTTATATGAATAAAAGAAAACTTATAATTCACAGTACCATCTATACCTCGACCAACTTATGTAATTAATGTTCATATCAAATTTCACTATCTTATTAAATTATTAATCCTAGATAGCAATTTGCTCTGCTATCCTAATTTTTTCTCACACTATGTTTAGCTGAAACTCGGTCTCCGCTTAAACCTAACTATTATGTAGTCTAAAATATGTTATCTAAGTTGAATGCAATAGCATTTTTGGAAATTAGAAAAAAAAGAGAGTAAAATCAGTATAAGTAGTAAACTTACACGCTCGCTCTACTTATGTCACCTTATTCCGACAGTTTTCTGCTATCATTTGCTACTAACAAATTAAACACGGCAACAATTATCAATTAAAGGTCTAACTCTAGCTATGGTTATGAAAAATCTTATATAAGTGATCAGTATAAACAAGACTAACATCTTAATTTATCAACCAAAATAGCACACACAATTCAATAAAAACAATAGATTCTCGAAAACTAATCAAACATTGCACGTTTGTTTATGGAAATTTTTAGTTTGTTTGGATTTTTGGTTTTGGTTTAGTTAATTTTTTTAAGTTGTATGGTTAGTTGTTAGTTGGTATATTAAAATAATATTTAAAATAAAATAATTAAAATTGATTTGATGTAAAAGTATGAGAGAGATGTTTGAAGTGATGGTTAGTTAAAATAATGTGAGTTGATGAATAGTGAATTAAGGTTGATGTGATGTGTATGAATGATTGATTGATATTATTTAATTATATTAATAATATTGATGATAGTGAGGTTAAGTTACAGTTGAGTTAATAAAAGTGGTTGAGTTAAAATGTGAAAATTTTTTGAAAAATTTTCATAAACAAGCATGCCCAATGTTTGAGTCTCTCGAAACTAGAAATAAAGTACTAGCCACTCATATCATTTATAAACTTCGTCATGAAATTAATTACATGAAAAATAAAAGATTTTCTTTTTCTTCTCTAACTCAAATTCTGCTTCCTGTTCCCCAAAGTCCCCAGTCCTTTCGATCCGTCCTCAAGTGTGATTTTTCTGTTCTTTTTATTTTCGTGATTCATATGACAACCAAAGTGAAAACCACTAATTTTCATATATATGCATTGCTATAAAAGTGTATTTAGTGCTAGCACAGTTTATAATAGTATTAATGTAAATGATAACATGATAAAAATATTAAAAATAGCATAAAAATAAATAAAAACTTCTGTCACACCCCGTTTTACTAGCTTTGAAAAATCAGAGTAAAATTTTTGTTTTTATTTTCGAAAGAACGTGCGAACTGGTTTTCGAAAATACTGACTTATTACGGGATGTGGCAGATAAAAACTTAAACTGAACTGAGCTTGCCCTCACAGACATAATAAATCATGCAACCAAACTGTCCGCTCGTGGATTATGGAATTATACATGTATAGTCTGTACTATCTCGCACTGTCTAGAAAAACTCGCTGGCGGAAGCATCCGAAATACGAATACATAAACATGCATACATAAACTGAATAATACACATGATCATAAATCTAGGACATAAAAATGCTGGGAAAATATGTCCGACACTCATGACCATGCTGCGCCACATCTGTGCTCATCCGGCACGCTCGACTCCGCCCTGTCATATACAATTTTGACGGTATTTACATTAGAACTAGTTTTTACTTAAACTAGACTAAAAGTTGTTAAAGAAAACAAAAGATGTGTATGAAAGTCAAATTAAAAGCATATTGTTAGAGTAGGGTACCCGGCGTTCCAATCTAATTGGACGTATTCTACTTGTAAATACAGTCTATTGGAATTATATTATGAATAAGGCATTTCTTTATCTTAAGAGAAAGCATTTATCTTATAATTGCACTTAAGATAAAATCCCTAGATCACTTATGGTTATAAGGTATGGTTGCGCATAGAGATGGTGATCATGGAACATACCTTGAAAGCCGTGATCTTAAATACAGTTCCAAGTCGATGGATGTTTCGAGATGGGATATCGAATAATCCATAAAAGACTTGCACATAGTTTGTATGCTTGTTGGACAAGAATGTTGCATTCCATCAACATTAGCGTAAGACGTAAGTACATTTATGTGGGTGCTTGTTAGAGAACAAGTTCACTGAACATGACCGTATGAAAATTCTTAATGAAGAATTTATTCAGTCGAATAAGAATTTTCATGTTACAATAGTACATGACTAATCCTAAGACTTGAGGCACAATGGTAACTTTGTGCATATTACATTCTACTTTGATTTATCCTTTTGGTAGCTAGCACTATCGTTTAAAGGGATAAGTTGGGTATTATGTTAATATGTATGGAAGTTTGTTAGTGGCCAATAAAGGATTCGACACTTATGAAGATAAGTGAATTTCCTATGTGTTTCATAGTTATTAATCCAAAGTCCTTGGCCAAGGCAGAGATGAATAGTGATTCATAACCGGGTTAATAAACATGAAATAGAATCATAGTTATTAAGTCAATTTGGGTTTCGACAAAATCATACCCAAGACTTAATCGGGAAATTAGATGTCGAAAGGATTTTACATGTATGGAGTTGTAATCGGAATAGGTTTACTCGCTATTCACTTAATACTAGATTCATGATACTTGCTAGGTGTTACCATGATATGTGGGTTCATGAATTAAGGGGTTAATTCTTGAATAAGAGTTAATAAGATTTAACTCAAATTACAAAGTGTTGTAAACCCACTACTAGTATTAATAGTGAACCTAAAAGGTCACACTAATTATGAACAAAGGTAAAGATTGTATTTCTAATGGTTAGAATTAATTGATAAATATCTAATTTGATTAGATGTCAATTAAAGGAATATATTAATCAATAAGATTGATTAATTACATTTTGGATATTACTTTAGTAATTAAAGTAATTACTAAATTAATAAAGTTGAGTTTTAAAATAGGATTTTAAATTTCAAATCCAAAATAATAATAATATGATTATTATAAGATTGGGAAAGTGATATAATAATAAAGTCTTGAGAAAGATTCTCAAGATTTATTATCCAATTATTATTTATATCTTTAAATATGATTTAAGGATTAAAATAAGAAATATGATTATAATAAAATGGTTGTTAATGGTTGTTTGAACTACTTAACATATCTTATTATTTTCAAAGTCAATGGTTAGTAAATACTATTTAAATAAAATTTGATTTTATTTAAATATTACTAAATATTGATTATTTTATGCTAAAATGTTTAGTATAAATAGATGCAAAATGTTTGCAAAGATGTGAAGTGATTTTGTGAGAAAATCAAAGAGAGAAGAAAGTGTTCTTCATATATTTCAAGAAAGTGTTCTTCATAATTCCCAAATTATATCTATATATATATATTCCTATACAAGAAAACCGAGACATTTCTACTAGCGAAGAAAGGTCGTCGGAACCGGGCTTCATAGGGTGGATACGATTAGAGGGAAGACATTTGGATTCCTAAAGCGAGTAACCTCAAGCCGTTGAAGTTACAACCGGGAACCGATTCCCACAATCCACATCTTTGTTGAAGGAGTTCAAGACACTCGGTAAATATTTCGTATTAGTATTTACTTTATTATAACAAATCAAAATTTGTATATGATGCATATTTTAAAGATGACGATCTGTTAATTCGAAATTAGTATGTACGGGTGTTGTATTTATACGATAAATACTTACTTTAAAAATTTTAAATTCCGCTGCGTACAGCCCGTACGGTACTAACGAACCCAACACATATTCCCATCTATACTTATATAATAAGGTATACCATTTACGAAATTTAGTAAGTTAAAAAGTCAATGCAATAAATGCATTATTATTTTGAGCAACATAATATAATATCATATCTATACTTATATAAAAGGAGATTCTATTTACTACATTTACTATCCAGAAAAATCAACTGCATTAAATGTCATTATTATTTTGGTATTATAATATTTTATTTATTTAATTGATTTATTTATTTGTTTTATTTTAAAAAGGTAAGTATAATAAAAAGATTTTAATAATAAAAAAAATCAAATACTAAATAAAAATGTACACTTTGACTTATTTGATTATATTTGGTATTTGATTATACCAAATATATTCCTATTTAGTATATATATTAAATACTTACTAAAGTATTTATTTGTTTTATTTGTCAAAGTTAAGTATAGATTTGTTTATATTATCAAATCATAAGAAAACATTAAATCCATATTGTAAAAAAAAAATCATATAATTTTATAACAATTCTACTACACTATTTAACAATATTCCTTTTTTATTATATAATAAAATAATAATTAAGTATTATATGGTGAATAACAATAAGTAAAACTGTTACTTTCTCTTATATCAAGGGATAAATTTATATGCTAAAATTAGTATAAATGTTTTAGTGAGATAATATATTAATTATTTTACAAGCTAGCTCTAACATGCTCATATTTAATGTTTTAAAAGATGTAGAAAAAAACTTATAATAACTCTATTGTTTTTTAGACTTAAATGTTGATTAAAAGAGGTAAAAATTCCTAATTTTTTAGACATAAACGTTGATTAACACCATAGATTGAGAGTCTATATTTAGTAAAATTCCTAATTGTAATAAAAAAATTCATGTTTGCTATATTTTAGAATATCTTTATATTCATTAAAAAAAAAAAGAAAAAAAAAACTACAATGAAAAAAGCAAGTCAACTATATATCGATTTGTTGTACTCCTCAAATCAGATTCACAATTTGGCTACAAGAAAAGGAAACTCATTGATTAAAATATTATTTTGTCAGTAGTCTTAATGTACAAGAGACTTTAAGACTCCACTTGAATATTATAAAACTTTTATTGAACATTGTACAATTTTCTTGCGTATTATAAACTTTTATTGAATATTGCATCTTATAATATAATATTCTTCAAATAAAAGACTCCACTTGAATATTATAAAACTTTTATTGAACATTGTACAATTTTCTTGCGTATTATAAACTTTTATTGAATATTGCATCTTATAATATAATATTCTTCAAATAAATATATCACGTGCTTCGTACGGGTCACGTACTATATATATCTCGTACATTTTTCTTTATTCATGTATATAATTATAAGCCTGGATAAAATAACCTTAAAATTGCGCACCCCGTGCATCGCACGGACTCTGTCCTAGTTATTCTAAACTCATTATTCCTTCTTTTAAGATGAATTGAATAAAAAGGATACGGAAACGATTATGAAATATTTCCAAATATGGTTATATCAGCTACAAATTCAAATTGAGTTTCATTTTGTTTATTTCCTTGATTTGTTATATTGCCAAAAAGATTAACGACGTCGTAAATAGTACACTCTGTGATGGTGAAAGAAATTAAAGTGCTCTGAAAATGACGTCTCAATTGATTGAGTTTGCTTTTCTCACGAGGCATGAATTATTTGATTCCATATAAGATAGAATCATAGGAATAGGAATATTATCTTCCACTTTCATGTTTCATTCCGTTACATACATATACATATATAAAGTGTTCATTCCGTTACATACATATACATATATAAAGTGTGATTGTATAATTTAATGTTATATTCCATTTTGTATTTTATTCAATTGATGAATGATAAATATAATATAATTCATATTTGTACACGTGTCATTCATGCCATGAAAGAAAACACGAGTGTCATTAATGAAGTACAACATGGAATATGTAGAACACATAGAAGATTCGATCTCATATAAATATGACATCATCATGCATACATCTTATCCACCTGAAAAATTTTGCGAAAAAATACGAGAAAAACCAAGAAAATTCCGTATCACACGATCCCATGAACCGAATTATAATTTCCCCTTTCAGAATTTGTGTAAGTACAAAATCCTCAAGGCCTTTCAAGACAGGTATTTTCACAAAACAGATAGGTATTTCTAGTTTGCAGCATTCAAAGACTAACGTACATTCGAAAACAAACTCAAAGGGAGAACTAACGCAGTTACTTACGGATAAAAAGACCGTTATTCTCTCTTCAATTTACTGTATACTGCACTTAGGTAAACTATATGAGCTTCTTCTTCTGGAAATACCGCCTCAAGAAGAATACCTGAATAACCGAAACAAAAATGCATAATCCGAGCGACATTATACTGTACCATGCGACCTGAGCATTAGTAGTTTCACTAACCATTCTCATATTTGCTTCCCTGCAATAGCAAAATCAAGGAAATAATTAAAGAAATAAAAGGGATGTTACTTTTTTTTTTATTTAGTGTTGATTTCTACTTAAATTTACCTATTTATCAGATTATTTAAGTTTTGATGAATTGATTCCACGTGTTCTTCAAGCTTTTTCAACTCGAGCTCAAGCCCCTACAATATACACAGTTACACACAACGTAAAACCCACAAATAATAAGAGAAGGCAAACGAAAAGAAATATAATAAAGAAACGAAATGAAAAAAGCTAAAATTTGCCTCAATTTTTTCCTTCTTTGCAACTGAATCCCAATCCTTAGCAGCAATTCCGGTTTTCCACTCGATACCAACTGTCACTTTTTTACCGTGATGATCACCATCCAATGAAAAGCATGCCATATAGTTTCCCATCTCTGTCGTTGTAAATGCAAACTGGCCATGTTGGACTTTTTCTTTATGATAGAGGTCATTTCCATATGGTGATGTAACCTTAAGATAGATATGTAATGGAATGAGCTTAAACTCAACAGACTTTTCAAGACACGAGCAAAAGCAAACAAAGAGTTGCCAAAGCTGGAAAGATTTTCGTGAATATTTTTCTGCACAGAATTGCTAATTCACTCTACTGTATTTTTAGTTCAAATATGTTTGATTTCATACAGTGCATGAACCAAATGAGCAATCGTCCGTTAGTACATGCACGATTACATTAAGATTTGGATATTGCCATATAACTGGGGTTGAACAGTTAGACCAACCGGCTTTTTACAGAGAACATAGCAATAAAATTTCTGTTTTTTTTTCCAGGGTCTTTAGGTTACACTGTTCTTGACATCTTGTTAGTCATTGTAAGAATCTATAACAGAGCAAATTGTAGTTCTTTCAATCATTGAAGTTTTTTCAAATAAACCTCTCAAACCACCAAACAAACCAATGAAATAAGCATTTGGAAAAGAATGTTTCAATATTCTTGACTGCAAAATTCTTCAATTGGCTATTTTACCAGATAATTGTTTCAACAACAAATTTCCAGTGATTATGAGACGTTCAAAACACTGCGAAGAGTGATTGTCCGCATATAAAAATTACATTTTCGTGTTTGCAAAATGTACCATAATGTGCTAAGTTTAATCACAACTGAAATGCACTCGGTTCACCAACAACTCTCTTGTTAACTCGACTAATTTTGAACTTCTAAATATCATCAACTTTTAACTCTCACATACTCGTTTGCTCGCAACAAGGAATAAATTCCGACAAAAATCAAATTCTATTAAAAACTAATTTTCAAATACTTCCCACAAGTCAATCTTCCCAACAAAAAACATAAACATTTGCGAAAAACTCTCAACAAAACATTAACTAGAGATAGCATTCTGTAGACAAACAAAAAAACTGCATTCAACGAAAATCAGAGGCCAATAGTTCGTTAATACTAAAGATTTAATTTTCAATCATTCTTAAGCTTACTCAAATTTCTTCCACGATTCATAAACAAAAAATCGACCTTTCACAAAATCAAATTAAACAAAGTATGAAACCTAAAAAAATTCAACCTAGGAGGCTCATCAAATTGAGGCAAAAAAGGATAATTAAATTCAAACCTTGACGGTGATGGACGGATTGACGGTGTTGTTCGCGTCATAATCCTCGCCAATGAAGCCGTAGTAATCGGCCAAAACGACGACGTTGTTGTGCAATTCTTCCGAAACGCACTTCGCCCCCGAGCTCGGCAAGTCCAGCCACACCCCGCGCGCCGCCGGGACTGCCGCCGCGGCCGCCACTAGAACCACCGCCCAGAAACGACGCGCGTCCATGGATTTCAGATTTCCGATGCGATTTTTTGTTTGTTTTTCTTTTTTCTTTTTATTTTAACCAATTTTTTACACTCTGATTGGACTCTTTTAGCTGGCGAGTGTATGACAAACGAGTAACACGCGCTACTAGGTTGAAACTTGAAAGACGACGAAGGAGAGGAGAAGCGCGTGATATCGTGCGAGTGGGGCTCTGGGGTTCATTTATTGGCGCCACGAATTTGTGGTTTCTTTTGGCCAATGAGATTCCGTGATAGCTTTGACTAGGCGCGCTAGCTCGGACCAGTATGCTTTGAGGTCACGCGCATTCGAATTCTCTTGGGCCGCATGTGACAACGGGCTCACTGCCTGGGCCTAAAAGTGAGATATCTGAGGCTCCATCACAATTGTGGACACTTTGAAATTATGTTCAAGAAGCCCAATATATGGCCCAATAAAATACTAGACCCTATGTCAAAGCATCATTCAATGAGAAAAGTAACTGAGAAAGGATGTTTCTTGGCTCTTTCTCGCCTTCGTGGATTGTGCCTCCAGCTAAAAAAGCAGTACATTCAATTTCGACATTGATGAACCAAAAAATGCCTCTTTGATATCTGACCTGGTAAACAGATTTTTGGTCCAAATAATAGCTGGCTTTGCTCTTTAATAATAAGTAATAAATATCGCCGGCCTACACTATAAATTACAATGTCCTTTCCAAATAATTCATGCAAACCTAAGGTACGCACAGAATGTCCTTGTCACGGTTTCATATCATATATCCAATTTTAATACAAATTTATATATCAAAAAATAAAATTAAACAGTGTGTTGGCCAAATTTGAAATTTTGAACCATTGATACACTTTGTCTGATTAGTTTACCAAATTTCTTATAGAATGTATGTTTACAAAATCCGAACATTAATTTTAATAATTATAATAGAATAATAGATGGTTGTCTTGTGTAATTTTTATAATCAATCTGAATTTGACAATGTAGTATCTGCTAATAAGATCAATATATATACACATGTACACTCATGTCGAACCTAAAGTACCTTTTGACATAAACCGGTCAATCTAAAAGCAATAAATCCTAAAATTAAAAACACTTAACATAACAATATAAAACATATTTATTATACAAAATGCAATCCAATAAGCTGAAACATGAACCCAAAAATTAAGATAACTGGTGTAATTAAAATAAACTTCATCAGGAGCAAAATACCATTTGAGATCATATACCTTATAACTAAATCATCAGTATACAATATCTATATATCTTTAACTTTTTATATCTTATACTGATTACTGAGTATTGCAATATGGAGTGTAATCTGAAATACGTACGTTTTAACAACTAAATTTCGACCATATATTTTCCCGTACAACAGGAAAAACCATATTTTGCTTGGTATAACAAATATATTTCAGGGTTAGTTGGAGTTTACTATTTTTTTTTTTTTCCAAAACGATAGATTCATTAAATAAAAACACATAATTACAACCGACTCAATAGCCGGAATAGGAGGACTGCCAAAGCAGCCTACACACGACAACACACACTACAAGACGAAAAGAGAAAAATAAAAACTCCCCACAGGAGAATACACAAACTCCCCACAGGAGAATACACAAGCTCCCCAAAGGAGAATACACAAACTCCCCACAGGAGAATACACAAGCTCCCCAAAGGAGAATAACAGGACAAAACACAACAAAAAAAACACACCAACAAACACAAGAACACAACATTACTCAAACAAACAACACAGGAACAAAACAAAACTCAACAAAACATAAACAAACTACTAGATTAAAGCCCTCCTCTCCAGCTGCCAAGCAACACCGCAATTCACCACGCCACCAACCACCAAAAGCCGCCACCCCATTTTGAGTCCCGATTCGGAGTACCAAGCCTGAAACTGCAGCAAAGGCCTAACAAAACCCAATCCCCCAAACCCACAGTCCCAACAGGATGACCACTCACAGTCCACAACACCAAAATCAGCCCCAACTCTCCACCCCACTCCTACCGATAACCAAGAACTTCCAATCACCGGAGCCACGAACCAACAATCGCCGGCAGAGCCATCGCCCAACCTCAGGAACGACGGAGAGCCATGGGTGCAGAGCACCAACAGATCCATGCCCGAACCACCCGCAATCATGGCCGCCGGCCACCGAGGCTTAAGAACCCACCCGCAGGATCCCATTCCCAGCACCAAGGAGACGGAGAAGAGGGAAAGAAGAGGAACTATTCTCGACACGGACCACCGGCCGGTGCCCAGCCGGAAAAGCCATCCCCTTGCCCAACCTTCACCTCGATTGCACCCCACAGACCGAGCCGCAACTGAATGGCGGAAATCCACGGCCCTGAGGACTCCGAAACAAAGGCAGGTCGAGAGAAGCACGCACTTGCCGGCGATGGTGGAAGCGCGGCGGCGCGTTGCGCCCCGCTGAAGAGGAGGCGACTCAGCCGATTTGGGGATTTAGGTTTTCCGAGAGCTTTTTTATTTTTAGAGAGAGAAAAAACACACTTTTTCGCATCATTTGCTTTTTTGAAAAGCTCTTTTTTTTTAGTGGGAGTTTACTATTATGATGTGAATATTTTAAATATGTCAAATTTTGTATCATAGCTCGAAACTTTTACACCCAATCGTAATTATTTATCAATCAAATTATTGAGTATTCTTTTTTTTTCGAAACGATAGAAATTTTATTAAAATTAAAACCACATAATTACAACTAGACAACAACTAGAATAGCCAAGCAGCCAAACAGTTGAATCTAGGAGGCCTACACTAGGTAGCCTAGAATCAACTACACTAACTCACCCATAATACAACAAACTAAACAGCTCTCAATAGGAGAATAACACGCTCCCAATAGGAGAATAGCACACTCCCAACAAGAGAATAACACGCTCCCAATAGGAGAATAGCACACTCCCAACAGGAGAAAAACAACAACACATACAACCAAAACACTCAAACAACACGCACAAATCAAAACACAACACCTAAAACACACACAGACACACTAAAACAACGACAAACAGACGAGCAAAACAAAGCCCTTCCCCAGCAGATGGACCAAAACCAACATAAAGTAACAGCAGACACAGGGCCGACCCCAACAGACTGGTCCATTGTCTAAGAAACAGCTTCTGAAACTGCTAACAAGAGTCTAACTGAAGCCAACTCCTAAATTCAAAACCACTTCACGAGTCGACCCGCTCCTCAGCCGTAAGAAACCCAACCTCACCTCCCCACACCACAAATGCCCTGAACTCGTCCAACACCACTGTCCGAGTCCGACGACACCGACCTCCTCACGAACCCCACGCCAGGGAAACAGAGGAATAGGAAGCAAAAGGGGTGCCTCAGGCCCGGCCACCACAAACAGCCTGAGCCATGCCCAACCCCCGCTGTCACACCCACCCGGAACCTCCGCACCATCAAGGACGCCAACGAACTCCGACCACGAACCGGCACCAGATTTTCGGATAAACCCGGCCGCGGGCGGAAGGCCACAACACCCTAGACGGCCGGACCAGGAAAGCGCACCCTCGGGGACACGGTTGTGCGGCCAAGGGGCGACCGCCGGCAGCCCCGGCTAGCCACTGAAGAAGGCTCGCGATCTGCCAAGGAAAATAGAGAGGCGGCTGATTTGGGGGTAGAGAGAGAAATTAGGGTTGGGGACGCTCCAAAAAAAAAAAATTATTGAGTACTCAATTGTTAATTTGTTATGCAGTTAATATAGTAGAAAATTAAACTGTGAGAGTGGGAAACAATTCGCATACATGAAGTTGAAAGATATAATATTTTGGCATGAGTTCGAAAGGAAGTTCCTGCATGCATTAAATTCGTAAATAAGGGAAGTTCTATGTAGTTCATATTTCCTAAATTAGCTTATATTATGTAAAAAGAATATTTGATCTTATTATGTGTTTATATTCTGTAGGAAATCGGTTCATGTAAAGAAGGGAAGAGAGGCACACGCAAGTAGGAGATTGCAAAGAATAAAGAGGAGATTGGATAACTAAGGAAAGTGGATATTTGGAGAGAGAAGAAGAGTCCTATGCTTGGAAGGACATCTTGGATATACTCGAAAAGGAACCAAGAGCTTTGGGGACACTTCACGAAAAGGAAATCATATAATAAACCTACCTTGAAGATTGAAGAGTGATCGCTGAAGCTATTGCTATTATTCATCACCTTCGAGCTTCAAGTTTCGTGCTTACATTTTTGTTTTGAGTTCAGTCCTCGGAACACTGAATTACCGAGGAATTGAAACCATTTCAGTTGTATCGTTTTCCTTTATTCTGATTTAAACATTTTAGTGATTTACACTTAGGGAGTAAGTGTGAAAATAAGTCCACGGGACGTGGCTGGAGAAGTAGTTGATAGGCTAGATCATAGTTGTGGTTAGAATAGAAAGAAGTTCTATTTTGTAAATCCAAACTATGCTTTTAAAGTTGTCAATGGAAGAGCTCTGAGGGAAAGTGAGATACTTCCCTGAAAAGTTTTTAAATCTTTGGTTATTGTTTCCGTAAATTGTAGTTTTTATACTTGTTCGTACAACGTTGAGCGCACTCGCGATAAATTTATACGTTTCAGAAGTGATGAAACTGTGAAAATTGGACTTGAAATTTCCGCTGAACTTCGAAGGGACAAATTAAATTATTGTCGGTCACCCTTTTTCCATTTTCTACTAAAGATAATTCATAATAAATAAAATAGTAATATTTGAAAACTTAGTAATTATTTTCATTTTGAACAAGGATTTGATCTTTCTGTAAGCCACCTGATCAGGAAGCTCCAAAGCACCATCGCCCACCGATTAATTGATTTTTGAATTATGTTATGTTGACATAATCTGGTGACAATAATGAAAAACATAAATGTGTAAGTGTAAGTATTATTGATTTTAACGTTGAATTTATTAATTATAAATTTGATATCTCCTCTTATATATAATTTCAGAATGCGCTGAGCCTACGTGGCAATTCTTATGCTTTGGAATCTTATTTGGTAAAAAATCATGCTTTGGAGTTAGGCTTGGATATAAATTAATATTTGTATTAATTGTATTTTAATATCATTCCTATTATAACCATTGAATTGCAAATATATTTTAAAAGTTGATAACTTTTGTATTTCTTATCGGTTTTACATATATAATATATCAAATTAATCATCTTTTGATGAGTTTCGATTTGACATCCATATTGTATATATAAAATAAATAAATTATATTTATCTTTATAATAATAATAAAATTATCTATTAAAATTAATTAGAAAATAAAATTATTTATTAATTAATATTTTGCATAATATTAAATAAACATATTCTACACTTATGCATATACATATCACCATAATATTTCTATTTACTTAAGATATATATTTTTTTGCTTATGTAATAGTAAATAATATCGATATTATTATATGATATAAGTAAACAAATTCAACACGGGTTGACATTTTTATTTAATGTACAGGTGTTTACTTATTATGTTAAAAAAATATAATTTGACAATTTAATTAACACCCAAAGTAGTGTTTTATATAAAATTAAATTATTTTAATTTTTAAAAAATAAAAAAAAATAATATTTTTTACAACAACTTTCTAATTCAACACCCGTGTAATACACGGGTATTGCACTGTGTAAAATAATATAATCTTGCGACGTGTGTAATCTGTCAAACTTTCTCTAGTATTAATTGTCAAATCAAATTTTATGTCAAAATAAAGAACATTGAAACAAAGCATAGCAATATGAAAAACCATGCACATGTTAGTTTCGAGTAATATGTGAATTTTACCCTATATTTTAAGCTACCTTTTATATATTAATTAGTGAGAACCCTTACGACTAATGTACAGACTCCTCACGATCAATACTCGTGGGTAAGAAAATATATAATAATATATATAAATTTTAAGCTCCAATATTGCTCGTGGGAAATACAATTATGTGTACAAGAAACAAACGTAATAATTGCATTATATTGTATTATAAATTTTTCCTAAATATGAAATTGCAACACTATGAAGTTATTATGATGGTTTCAAGTTATTGGTAATGGTAAATCAAAATAATTTTTGTATTCTTTATTTGATTTTTCCACATTACAACAATGTAACCTCTAAATCTATTTAATTAATTATATTAAATTCCACTTCAAATATATATTTGTCCTAAAAAACTGACATAACAAAAATATGCCGGCTCCATACTTCCAGATAAAAAATCAATGCTTGATAGATTTTGTGTGGACCTATTATTTACGATAAGTCAAACTTTGAAAGTGTGGGCTAATGAAGAGAGAAGATGGCGAATAAATTTTATTTAATTAACTACCTTTCATCTTCAAACTGTATTATTGATCTAGCAACTTATAGTATTTAAAATATTTTTCTTAGACGCGGTATTGTTACATCATGCGGATAAATCTTACGTCACGTTAATCTATTAAGAACTAGTATAACGTACGCGAACTACACGGATGTTTCATAAAAAAACTAATTGTCCAATAAAAAATGAAAAAGAATTAAAATTCTTATTGTGAATAAATAATTATAAGAAATTATTTTTTAAAAAATATTGTTTCGAATTTTAATACACATTAATTTCTATTAATTTATAAGATAATTTAACATTTTATTTGATATTTTTTAATTTAGTTTGATAAATAAATTAAATTTTATTTATAAGGATATATATCATTTTTAGTATTTTACATATAATATGGATGTCAAATCGAAGATCTGTGAAAGATAATTAATTTGATATATCATATATGAAAAAATAAAATACAAATAATAAATATCATAAAATTTAAAAATAAGAAGAAGAAACATTTATAATAATTGATGTATCAATTAAATAAGAAAATAAAATGTAATATATGATAATATAGAAAAACGAAACGTAAAATAGTTTATGATAACTAACTGCAACACAAAATAAAATATGAATAATATAGACATTAAATGAAATCCAAGACCAATTATTTTCATATAAAATTATTAATTTATATCCAATTCTGACTCCGAAGCATGATTTTTATCACATAGGATTCCGAAGTCTAAGAGTCTGTTACTTAGGCTCAACACATTCAGTACTTATATAGAGGAGCAATTACCGTAGTTCATAAAAACCTTCTAATAAATTACTGGTGGATGGTATCTATATTAATATAAATAAATAAATATTAAATTATTATTATAATTTAACTTACCCATGTAAATTAGCGTATAAACATAATATATAATAATATTTTTTATTTAACTTACCCATGTAAATTTAAAAAAAATGATAAAAGGTAAATAGTATAACATAAGAAGACATTATATATCAACTCGATCGTTAAGGAATACGACTCTAGATAGCAATTAAAGTCTTAACTTGGGTGTTTAAGCACGAACTAATGTGTAGCCCGTGCTATGCACGGGTAAATAATACTAATAATCTCAACCTTCAGCGAGTAGGTTCCCCGCCTTCGGTTCTAAGAGTTTGGTTAGAGCATGATATTATTGGAGTGTCGTATCCCCGTCGAGTCCTAATATAGGCCTTATGGCCCTATAGGCCTATGGCCTCTTTCATTGTACCAAAAAAAAAAAATAATGCTAATATTAATTATAAACTAAATATTAAGATAAACAATATTAACTATAATTATAAATTAAAGATGTGGGGTTACATGTGATAAAATCTACTTTATATAGTCTATTGTAACAATATAAAATTATCTTATATAAAAAACATAAAAAAATTTATGTCTAAAATATTAAAATGGTGAGAAGATTTACATATTATATATAAAATAAATATTGAGATGATACCGAAAATTATTTCGTCATCAATTTGAGTATAAAATAAACAGAGGCTTAATAACTTCATGCTTTATGCATATGCTTCATTTATCAATTTTATATAATAATTTTAAAATCTCATTATCAAAATTTGTATTCAAATGTATAAAATAAACGGAGGCTTAACAATTCTACGTTGCATATACTTCATTTATAAATTTTATGTAATGATTTTAAAATCTCGTTGTTATTTAGATTTTTATTCAAACACGTATCAACAAAGTACACATCTTTGAGATTTATGATGAAATACGAATAAATGATTTCTTTATAAAAGAAATCTGTATTTATTTGTTTTTGAAAATCAATCATTATTTATGCGGACAATTTTGTAGGAAAGTTATTAGGAAATTGTTAACATTTGAATTTGAATTAAAGATTTGCATGAAAATTATTAGGAAATTGTTAACAATTGAATTTGAATTAATTTATTTTTATTTTTTTTTTTCTGTTTTCCCTATAAGTTCGTTAAAGCAACCATATTTTATTTAAATTTCTATCTTTTCCTTATTTAGAAATTTTGAAATTTGTTTTACTTGCTATATTTAATAAATAGTAATTCTTTTTATATAAGTATAGATGTCGATTTGTGAGCTAAGCAAATGAAAATGGAAGAAAAAATTAAAAAATGAAAGAAACACAATTTGAAAAATAAACTATTGGAAATTTGGATCATATCCCATTGGGCCATGGGCCTGTGGCCCATACGCAATACATGACCCATAATATGGTTTTCTTGCGAACTTTTCTTCGGTAAAATGAAATTATATTTTAATTAGTTACTCAGCCTTAATAATATAAATGAGAAGCGAACTGAAAACGCGTTTTTAGGAGCCCATGCAACTATGCAAGACAGGGCATCAGTATCAACAGCTGTTTTTTTCTTTGTTTTTATTTATTCATATTTTTATGCTAAACCTCATGACTTGTTTTTGGACAGAAAAAAGTTCATCTGCAGAAGATTATCTTATGGTGACACGTCATAATCTGTGTTTTCACATTATTAATATTATATTATTATTTGTTTTAATTTCAACTTTATCACCATATGAGATGATATTATTAGACATCCACTAAATTTGCTTTGATATATGTACAAAGTATAGTATTAATACGTGTAATACATTTGTTTGCACAAGTACAAGTACAATCCATATACAACATTGTAAATTGTAAATGAACAGAGTCGACCTCGAACTTTTTATGCTCGAATTATGAGTCGAACTCGATTTATTAACTAACTGAGTTATATATCGAGCTCTAGTTCAGTTCATTTATCAAAACTAATGAGTCATATAAACTTTGGTTAGCTTATAAGTTTTGGGTAGCTTTTGAAATAAGCTCGTTGAAATTTTTATTTCAGTTAATTTATTAACTAATTTTATTAAATACTTTTATCAATTTAACTACATATTCAACCATAAGCCATAAGTTACAGATTCGAAATTCACTTAGGTTCTGATAAAAGTAGCTATAATTAAACAAGCTAATAACTGATAGTTTATAAGTGAATTTTGAGCTTATAGCTAATAGCTTATGGCTGAAAATCTAGCTGATATATATATGATAAAGTTGTTTGGTAAGATTAACTGATAAACCAACTGAAATAAAAAAAAAAATTCAACGGACTTATTTGAAAAGCTCGAACTGTTTTGAAAAACTCGTCTTACCAAATAAAACTTATTTATATATATAAGCCAACCAAATAAGTTATATGAATTAGCTTATGAAGCTTACCAAACACACTCTTATAAGCTATCAACTACTTTTACGGTTTTAGCAAACATAACTTAAATACTTTTGTATATTTTTCGTACTGAAGAGTTATGCGAATAGACTGCATAACTATTGCATATTCATTGTGTACATGTTATATTTTCATTGCACAATGTTTCTGCATTTTATGTTGGTAAGAAAGTTAACTTGCCAAACGAGGTAAAAAAAACTTAATATATTTTCATACTGGTTAGTGGAGTTGAAAAAACCTATTTTCAATTATAACCATGTAACTTGACCAAAAGGGACCCTTCTATTTTGAGAAATCTCACTTTTGCCCCAACAAAGGACTATAAATTCCCATCAAAACCCCTTCCTTCTCAAGACACACACACAACTCAAGTTTCCTTCTCTTCAAAGACCCAATAAATTAAAGCACCAAAAACAGAGACCTAAAACCACACACGCACACACTACATTTCTCATCTTCTCTTACAAAATGACTAAACCAGAAATCATCAAAAACATCCCCTCAAAATCCCAGTGCAAGAAAAAGTACAAGGGAGTCCGAATGAGGAGCTGGGGCTCATGGGTGTCCGAAATCCGGGCCCCAAACCAGAAAACCCGAATCTGGCTCGGCTCCTACTCCACGCCGGAGGCCGCCGCCCGAGCCTACGACGCCGCCGTCCTCTGCCTCAGGGGCCCCTCCGCGAATCTCAATTTCCCGCCTCCCGAATTTCCGCCCCCAAACTCCGGCAGTTCGGACATGTCACCGAAATCCATCCAGAGGGCGGCGGCGGCGGCCGCCACCGCATCGAGCGCCGATTTTCTCGGCGGGCCGCCGTCCCCGAAACCTTCTCTGAATGTTCGGGTCGGTGAGGAGGAGGGTGAGGACTACAGGGTACAAGCGGTTAAGGCGGTGGCGTCGTGGTACAACTTTGACTCCCCGAGGTACAACGAGATGGTGAATGGGGTTTTTTGGGATGCTAATCTGACGGTGGAGGATAGTTTTGAAGATGGGGATGTTCGGCTGTGGAGCTTCTGCTGATTGAATCTTGTGGTTTTTTTTCGGTTTTTTTGTGCAAAGTTATTATTATTATTATTATTTGGGGTATTCATTGGATGATCTTCACTTTTATTATATGTGAAGACATTGCTGACGTATGTAGTAAGAGGGTTTAGTTACTGTTGTGTTTGAGTTAAATAATTTGGAAAGAATATCACAGGGAGAAAAAGCATTTTTTGGGCTCTCCTTTTAGTGATTTCTTGTATGGTCCATTTGTTACTTTTTTTTTGTTTTACATTGGTGTAATAAATATTTGTAGAATGTATTTATTCCTCGCTGGGAAAAAATGCACAATTTGTCTACTATTTATATCTTACTTGCATTTTTGTACTTTTATTTTTTTAAGTTAACTTTTGGTACACTATCGATTTTATTTGACAAAATTCGTCCAAATCGAGATTTCGACTCTCATTTTTCGTCAGAAATGTTGATGTGACGCCCAATTGAATCCATTTAAAATTTTTCGACGTTATCAGTTGACGAATATTGCATTTTTTCCTTATTCAGTTTATCTTGATTTAGGATCTTTAAATATATATACATATAAAAAAATTTAACTACATGAATATTTTTTTTTTTGCTTGGACCCCCAATAAATTTACTACAAATTTCTCTTGAAAATTTGTTACTTAAAATCGAAAGGTAAACAATGTCAAAATTCGTTTATCACTCGTTGTATTTGAATTTGGATTGTATGAATGATGTGTATAAATATGACATCGTCCTGTGCAACACAAGAGACCTCTAACCATCATCTAGTGCGAGATTAGCTCAATACAATTCCTTGCCAAAAATCAAGAGATAGGATATGGAGAATTAAAGTATTTCCAATATTAGAGCACGATAAATAATACATTTTCGAATGCAATTTGGTGCGTTGTGTACCCATAAATTGATCTCTCACTCACAACCGACTTTAAAGACCTGCAAAATATTATAAGAAATAAACCCTTCAACGCTCAAGTCAATTTACGTGCATCAAAAGGGCAAACTCTCTATGGAGTCATGCAAGAGATACTTGTGATTAGATTTTCATATATGTTGCGTTTTTACTTGTAGTTATCTCTCCTCCAACTTCTTGGATATGCATAAAATTTCGCGAAATCTGAAAAAATTATGAAATATCTTCCTTCTAAATAGGTAATTGATGTCTTGATGAACGACCTCAATATTGGTCAGGTGTGTATTCCTCAATCCTCATAGCAAAAACCTAAATTGATCTCATGAACAGAATTTCTAATCCAACTCATCTAGCTGACTATATCACAATTTGTAGAAAGTTATTTATAGAAAAAGAACTATGAAATACAAATGTCAATCTTAGTAAAATGTTTGAAAGTATTTGAACCAAATGGGACCTTGATAGTGAGGTCGAACCATTTCATTATGTTTTCTTACATTGTACTTGGTCTTTTCAATACATAATGTTGTGGGTCATGCTCGAAATTTAATCTCTCTTTTCTCCTTATTAAATGCTTTTTAGTTTTTTTTTAATAAGTACTTTTTTTCTTATATTAAAAGACAATCATACCTGCAGTGATATTCTTTTAATATATGTATATACTTTTATGCTGAAACATTTTATTTTTATAATACATTATGAATAAAATTATGATATTTTATAGAATAAATATGTATTTTTATGTATGAACATATAAACGTCTATGAATAAAAAAAACAACAATGACCAAACTGAAATAGCTTAGTTTTCGAGACTCCTTTATAAGTTCTATCCCTATATGTTCTGATTGCCTAGTTTTATTTAATTGGTCACAAATGATAACATGCAAAGGCATTATGATTTATGAATATTTAATTTGGAAAATTTATAATGAGAGCCATCTTATGAACATGGGTTCTGTGCCCATGCCGTCTATATATGAATTTCAATTGTAGTATGGCGACTTATCATGTGGTTTGGAGCTATCATTTTCGTAAAAACAAATCCTTTTGCTCATGTTTGAATTTTTGTCACTTGGAATCCGATGTTTTTATTTATTTATTTATTTTTTATTTTTTTTCAAATAGTATTGAAATTTAAGTGGAAAAAGGTCTATATATTGTATACTAAATTTGAATAAAAAAAACTCTTGTAACTCAATTTTATTGTTAGACAGTTTGATTTGTCATCTTATTTTTACAATAATTTTTACTTATATTATTAAATGTATAAGTACTTTCAATCATATTTTTTTTTAACGTATGATATTTTTTAATAAAATTATACACATTTGTAAAAAGAGTATACGAAAAATATATAGGGTGATTCACAATCAGAATTGCTAAATTTGAATAATATATAC